AGAGGTTATAGTTAAGGAACAGAAATGAGAGAATTCAAGCCTGGCCATGGAGCTGTCTTGGATGACACCAGATATCAAGTTAGCAAAAGCAGGGGATTGCTAAAGTAAAGTAGAGATGGACTCGTTTGATTTTGTTTCTTACTTACTGATGAAAGACTCCAAGCACCGTGCTAATGCTAGGAGAGATATCAAATAGCATATATGACTTTTCCTTCAAGGGGCTAGCAGTTTGGTAAGATCGAATAGTATTTAGCAGTTACACAAACATGTTTAATACTACAGAGAATAAGTGCTGGAATAAAGGAATCAGGAAGTCTAAGGGCACTGAAGTGGGAGAGATTCAGTCCAAACACGTGGGTTATAGAAAATATCATGGAAAAGATGGCATCTGAGTTTAACATCTTAAAATCTGAATTGGATTTTGACACATAGAAATCACACAACTGGTACTTCTAACAGGTTTTTGAGGGGTTAAGAAGTCCAGTCTACAATCTTCAAAATACCATCTGACGTGTGTGGGATATGTGTTGCCTTCTTCATTTCATGAATAGAGAAACTGCAGGTCAGAGAGTTTCATGGCTTTAACTGACTTGCAGGGACCTCAGAGATACTGAAAGAGCACAGATGGGTGTTTCAGACAAAGGAGTGCTGGGGAGAAAGATGCCGTTGCATAAAGTGCAGGACTTATTTAGGGAATGATGAGGATGTGGTTTCAACTTATGAAACAATTGGTGAATTTAAAGTCTGGAAAATAAGTCACAAAAACTAACTTGAAAAAGCTCCTGATGTACCTAAACAGCTTAGGTCTTGTGCCTAAAAAATTAAAGTGACGACAAGGCAGTGAACCAAGGTAGTGCACACAGGGCAGAAACAACGCAGGACTACTGCGTGTGGATTACACTCAATAAGACAGAGGAAAATGCAGAAACCCCAACCCAAGGGCCTTTTCTTATTTCTTCCTTTCCTTCAATAACATTCTCCCACCAATTAACTGATAATAAAATCAATATTCTGTCCACTCACACAGGGCCCCTCTGTGAGACTGACTTTTCTCACTGATAATTTTGCGTGTTGCAATACGCTTCCAACTTCCCTCAGACTTTATTCTCACTTTTGTCCATATTCTTCACCCCACAGAGAGACATCTCTACAATATAAACATGATCCTTTGTCTCCAATGCTTCAGTGTCTCCACTGGCTCCCCTGACCCTCAGGATCAGGGAGACATGCTGCAGCAAGATTTCTGAGTGATCACTGATTACGCCTCATGTGATCACCAGCCTCATGGCTTGCCTCTTCTTCTGATCCACACAATGTGCCAGACAATCCATATTTCTCTGGATATGCTATGCTTTTCATGCCTCGGATGTTTGTTTTGGATTAATTATCTTCTGTCTAAGCATTGTGCTTTCCCTTACCTGCCCCAACCGAGCCATTCCACTGCTTAGCCCAACATGATGGAGTAGCTTTGACTCTACTTCCGCCTTTATAATTCATTTTACAAAGCAGCTATTGAATCACATCATTTCTAATGCCTTTAAGGGGGAAATTACACATAGAACTTCAGCCATATGTGGAAGTACTGAGATCCACCAAGCACTCAGCAAATCATTCTTAAATCTGTAAATCATTCTCATTTTTTAGAGGAAATTGAGGCACAACTAAGTGAACTAAGTTGCTCCATCTTCACTCTCATCAATATATGTTTATTTTCATTCCATATCACCTCATGTTTGACCAGTTATAGTCCTCTTCTCACTGGTCTAACAGGACCACCCAAGCCACACAAATCTAGCCATGGTGGTCCTCTATGTGGAGGTCAGCATTGGTCCCTTGCAGACTTTAAGCCCACCTCATTCCAAGTCTGCCTGCTTTTCCACGGTGAGCTCCTAGAACTCATGCTCATTCCAGCCACTCCAAACTTGCACGTTTTAGTCTTTGCAACTGTTGTTCCTTGTGTATGTAAGCACAAGCCCCCATGTGGGGTAAAATCAACAATGAATCAAAACAGGACTCATTATACTAACTAGAGATGATGTATATTTATTTGATTGCTTATGTGAGGTTGAAAATTATTCATGAATTTGATAGTGAGCAGTATATTTTTATTCAAGGAAGACTAAAATTTGTATTTTAAATGAATGAATAAACCTACTTTGAAATTGGCCAAAATTTGAGAATACATTTTACTGCCAGAGCAATTACCAAGAATCTTTAGAAAACTTTACAAATGGAGAGTGGAAAACTGAGCCTGAATGAAAAAAAACCTCAGACTATCCAACTATTCAGTAATATATATCTAGATATAGATATAGATATAGATATCTCAGAATATATATTATATATGTGATATAGACATATAATACTAAGACACATAATTTTGTCTGGGTGTCCATAAGATTACTATAAATGTTGTAAAATGTAATGTCTCACAATGCTAATGGGTAATAGAGTCTATTGATTTAATATTGAATATTGTTAAATTAGATAAAACAAAGAAGATTGTTATTTTTTATCTTGAGTTAAATAATTAGATTTTTTAAAAGCCACAAATAAAAACAAAAACACTGCAGTTTTTCCCTAATGCTTAATGAGACAATAATTCTTGTGGAGACATTTTCTTTTAACACTGAAATATTGCAATCAAGACCATATTGATGATTATTCAGGGGAATATTATACATAGAACTTCAGCTGTATATTAAAGTATTTAGATCCACCAATTATTCAGAAAATACTAGTTAAATCTTCACATAAATTGTTATTGTTCTCATTTTTAGAGGAAATTGAGGCACAACTAAATGAGCTAACTTACCAATACCTTTCTTTACTTAGTAATAGAGGCCCCAGATAACTGTAATGTTTATGATCAACCTATTCTATAAGAGGTCATATGTAATCAAAGAAACTGTTCAAGTATTTAACTTATGTTCATAAAAGGGTATCCATCAATTTTGAAAAGTTGAAACCGAATGTAAAAGGTGATATGTATTAACTTATGAGCCTAGGTTTATACAAGATCAGCCCCTCAGAATTATTCTATGTAGGGACTATGTAACATCTATAAATACATACGTTGCAGATTTGATATAAATGTGTTGACTTTTATCTGCTAAAGTTACCTAGCTTCTATTATTCATTTGAGCAGAGAAGACTGCAATGTTCAAGATATACTTTAATTTATGGTACATGAAGCAATGGTTATAATAACCAGGCAGCGGAAAGAAATATGTATTACTAAACTCCAATTATTTCTCATATTCTATGGATGATTAAACTTCTGTCTGAATACTTTAAACATCTTATCATTAAACTTCAAAATTAAAGTTAAAAATATGTGAGATTATAGCATTCTTTTCATTCAATGTGTATGCTGTCACAAATTCAAACTAACTTTATTTCAAAGAGATGGACGATAGTTATACTTCTGAAATTCTTTTAATGTATTTTTAAAAGAAAACCAAAAAAGAAAGCATATCTGAGCATGTTCCTCTTTTCTTTTTTTGAAATGGAGTCTCGCTATGTTTCCAGGCTGGAGTGCAGTGGCATGATCTAGGCTCACTGCAACCTCCGCCTCCCGGGTTCGAGTGATTCTCTTGCCTCAGCCTCCCGAGTAGCTGGGACTACAGGTGGCACCACCACACCCAGCTAATTTCTATTTTTAGTAGAGATGGGGTTTCGCCATGTTGGCCAGGATGGTCTTGATCTCTTGACCTCATTATCCGCCCACTTCGGCCTCCCCAAGTGCTGGGATTACAGGTGTGAGCTACCATGCTGGCCCTGTTTCATTATAAAGTGCTGTGTCAAAAGATGAGAGCCAGTTTCTCTAAAAATATTAATAATTTGAACCTTCATAGCCCTGAATGCCAAAGGCCTTACCATGTGCCTAGTTCTGAGACAGGAAGGCAGAGTGTTGTTGACCTACCCGTAGACCTGAGCTCTGTGGGTTTTTCTTGTTTGGGGAATAAGCTCATGTTTGATATCCACAAATGTCTAGTATAAGAACCAGGAAAGATGTTTGTTTGGAGAAAACATATACATTTATGCATTTTACATTGCATTTTGAATACTGAATTGCAGAAGTTTTCTATTTCGTAATTGGCTGGAATTGAGATACAGTTTTGTGTATCATGTTGCACAATAGAGCGATTCTCAAGCATCAGATTTTAGTTGGCTACCATTAATTTTGAGATTTTATCTATTCCTGTCCATTAAGTTTACATCTAAACATTGCAGTATCTGGATGCTGGGGAAAAAAAAGAGTCATTGAAGCTGTAGGGAGCACTTCTAAATTGAGTAGCACCTTTGTGAACAATTTTAAAAGGCATCATTTAATTGTCTATAACAACAAAAACAAAAATCAATAAAAGACTGTCAGAATGCATAGACTGATTATTGCATTTGACGAAAAAGTTTAATGTTAATGAAATTTGCAACATTCATGCAAATGGAGAGCATGGTCATTCAGATCTAGAAAGGAGGTTATCTTTGCGAAGATGAGCAGGCTGAGAATAAGTTCCAAAGTGGAAGCACTTTGTCCATGTGGAAAGCAAGTGACTTTTTGATATCACGCTTTATATTTTATTGCCTGTGTTTGCGATCTTTCTAAGTCAGAAGATGCATTGACAAATGTTAAGAGGAGACAATAGTAGCCAAAATAATAAGTAAACGATGCACATTGTTATAGCAAACTGGGAAAAGAATGCATCTAAAATTTCTTAGATTCTCTTTCATTTACATATTGTAGGTTTTAGAAGCCAAAGTTTCTCCGTAGTTATTTGAATCTAAAGATGCTTCCTACTAATTTGAAATTCCACGTAATTTGGGTCTATTTTCAGTGTTTTATTTAAAACAGATCTATAAAGTCAGGTAAACAAATATGAATTCAAAGGCTGGTATTTATATTGTTTGAAAAATGAGTTTTTCAACTGATGCTATTAAGAGTTGCAAATAGATCTATGACATGACGTTTTGATCTGATTTGTTCTGAACATCTGCAGGCAGAATGCCTTTCAAGTCATTGCTGTGGACGGGGTGTGCAGTGGGATTATTCAGTGCCTCTCTGCTGAAGACTGCATTGACTGGCTGCAAGCAATAGCGACTAATATTTCAAATCTCACAAAGCACAATGTAAGTAACGATTCAGGGAATACCTAGCCAGGGTTTCTCAGGCTTTGTAAAATCCTTCAATATATATATAACTTCACATCAACTGTTTGATCTTCTCAGAGTGAAACACTTCACATTAATTATGAAAGCTATTCTGGAATACTTATTGAAAGGAAATTACTTTGGAAGTTCTAGCCCAATTTATGAGCTCAATAATATTCAGATTTCCATTAACAAGTATCGTAAGCATCTATATTACCTAAGCAAATCAAAATAAGTAGTTAGCATGTAATCACTAAATATCTTTAGGGAAAAGCAGTCTGGACTAATAAAGTACTTGATTTCAAGCTAACATTATTGGTTTACCTTTAGTGATCTTAGACTTGCAGCTAGGAAGATTTGAGGAGGAGGAGGCTAGGACGAAAGGAGTTGGCATGAAGAAGGTGGGAACGGTCAGAAGATTGCCACTGTCTCTCATTAGACAGATCCTGGTCTGTATTATTAGAAATGGCTTCTCTGCATTTTCTCTCTTTCCACTCCAACCTTTCCTTCCTTTCACATTCCTGTGTCTCTTTATTATAGCTTTATTCTAATTCCTTTAGCTCTTTAATAACCTAAACAATTCTTTATCCCTGTTATTAAAACTTCTATGAGAAATATAGTCTAACAAAATATACAAAACCATAAACCTCACCTCACTATCAATCTAGGTATCAGTAATGATAATTGTTTTAGAAAAAAAATTTGTCATCATCTGTGCCTTTGTGTTCATTCTTTCCTTAGCCCACAATTGTTCCATGCCATGTTGAGGCATTTGAGAGTTCCTAAGGGAGATCAGGAGTCTAATAACAAATGATCAAGCAGAAATACATAGCTCTGTTCACCAGGCATTATGAGCACATAAAATGCTTCTTATGTAAATGACGCCTCAGATCCAAATATCCTTGCGCAGAGTAGACTCTGTTTTGACATCTAAGAAGGGATTGTGGCCAGTATGCCTTCCTAAAACAAAAGGAGGATCACTAGCCAATAAAGGCAACTGTCTTGTTTCCAGTCTCTGGCTGTTTCAAATAAGGCCATAATACTGGCCATACATATGGTGACAGGATGCTCTGGGAGTGAAGTTGACAGTCATGGCATATGTGCATGGTCAATGTTACCAGGCAATGCTAAATGTTTTCCAATTGGCTGTGCAATTTACCCCCACACTCTTGGTTGATGACATGTCTCTTTCTATAGATAGTTTTCAAAACTCTGTGCCACCTGCCTTTTAAATTTTTGGTTATTTGATACCTGTGAAAATATGCTTCCAGTGTAAATAAAAACACATTTTGGGTGGTTCCAGAATAGGTATAGTATGCCAACACTTACCCAGGGTCACCCCTCAACAAGGAGGCTAGACAGGGGTGTGCCTGACTTGGGCAAGAGTGGGCTCTCATTCCCAGCCCAGCCCTTGCTAATCCGGTGTTGTCAACATGTTAGAGTTGAGGTTGCACAAGAGGGTGTAGGTTTCAGAACGACTGAAATACAAAGAAATGCAGTGTTTCTCTACAGATTTTTCCACTTCCTCGTCTGACTTATATTGATGTTTCTAGAGTTAAAGACAGAAAAATACCTCATGAGAGTAGAACTCTCCATTTCTTTACAGAAATGATTAGAGATCTTAAAAATGATACATGATCTTATATTTGTGAGAAAAATATTTTTGAAAGAACAGAATGTTAAACTTATATTCAAAGATTTTTTTCCTTACTTGGATCCAAGTTTACTCTGACTTAAAATCCTAGGAATACTGTCCTGTTGTATTTCTTCAAAAGGTCTATTCAGTTAGAATGCCCTGCTTCCACTGAGAAGCATTTGAAAAGGCAGTGCTTTAGTTAAAAACAACAACAACAGAAGAGTGAAGATGCAAATGTATCTACCCTCTGTAAGCCTAAGGAGGGACAAGCCAAATTTTGCTGCTTGTTTTTCATTCTTGTAATAAGTGCTCACTATGATGCAAAGGAAAGCAAATGATTCCCTTATACTATTGGTTTAACTGTTGGGAGATCCATATGTCTGTTGCCATATTAAAAGTTATCTATTTGCTCTTTCACTTCCTGTTTCTATATTAGAATTGCATGTTCTTTTGTTCTTGTAATCAGTTCCCATTCAAAAGTATTAGGTTACAATGTACTCTGATATGGAAAGTACTACATAAATGTTGAAAAGTTATTAGACATAGCGATAAAACATGGGAAAGTCACATTGACTTCAGAGAAGGCACAGTGACTGCATTGATGACACAATTAACATGGTTCATTAGCCTAAAGAAAGAAATTAGGTGGAAAAAGTAGGTAGGAAACTTTTGCTTAGGATAGTTAGGTATCAGTTTTAGTTCTCTTACTTTTTGATTCTAAGGGGATGCTGCAAATAATACCTTATGGAAAGATGGAGAACTTTTTCTTTACTTGCCAATATTCTGAGAGAGTATAGGCTTGTACAAGTCTGACTTGAGTAGTTTATCTGTTGATAATAGATGTAGAAATAAAAATATTGTGATAAATATTTAAAGAAATTCCCCTCAAGAGATTATCAGGCATAAAATAAAATAAAAAAAAATTAAAATGAATATAAAATAATAAGTTTGACAGTTTAAAAATCATGTGATTGAAGTAAGACATACATACGTATATAAACTTTTTAATAATGAATCAAATTTTATTGTAAAGCTAGTTGGAGAATAGATGGGGAAGGATAAAAGAGAGTAAAAACAACACAAAAACAAAAACAAAAAACAGCCTTTGCAGGAATAATTAGAACAATGTGCTGACCATTTTCTTTTCTCTTTACTCACTACTTTCTAAAAGTAATTTTGTGAGACAAGGATTTTCATACACATTTTTTAAAAATTCCAGGTAATTATAGTTGCTGTCTGAAAAAATTCTTCTTCCAGAAATCATTGATCATAATGTCTAAAAATACCTAGACAAACACTGACAACTTAAAATTGTATTTTATCATTATTCGGAATGGCTCCAAACATTTACAATAGCTGTTAATAGTTAATACTTAGTAAATGGTTTCTAGCAGAAAGAGGGTGAGGCTTTAGACTTGTTTTAAGCTGTGTTGGCAGAGCTCAGCTCATTTTACTTCACTTCCATGCTTTCACATTAGAAAACAAAGACCGGCAGAAGCTATGGTGCTGCGGTGTGGGTGGGGTTCAGCTCATTTCTTCACCAGCTTTCAAATAATGAGCATTTGCTATTGTTTTAGATGAGCATTCACTCTCAGTGAACTATTGCTTTACGTAAAGTAGACTTGAGCAGATTCTAAAAGCTTAAATTTATATATTGTAAGAAACAGTAATTGCTTCCAATGAATAACCTACCAAATTTTGTTCATTTATTATTTCACCACCTATATGAACAGGTATTAGTAGAAAGTTATTAATTTTTATTTCCATGATCATTTCATATTAAATAATTGAAGACTGTTAAATATGCTAATGTTATAATACTATTAAGTTTTTGGGAACCCTGGAAATAAATAAATATATCTGGCATAATGTACAATAGATATGAATCATCCGAGTTTGCTGGGCAGGTTGGTAAGATGCTCCCCTATGATGTTCACTTCCTGCCATTTACACCCTTATGGGATTACCGTCCATGTGCGTTGGCTGCATAGTGAGCTCTGAAGCAGATGCTTCTTTTACAAAACTTCAGATGAGATAGCAGATAATCCTTGAGAGCCTTTTGAGAAACCCAGTACATGCTAACCCACACTGATCACATGCTGAGGGCTCAGCAGGATCTGTAACTAAAGTAGATCTGCAAGAAGCCTTCATCAGTTATAGGTTTTTGATGTGGATATTTTTGGGGGAGCATTTTTGGCCTACCACAAGAACTATCTGGCAGGTGAACAGGATGATTAGATTTAGACAGTTCTGTCTGATTTTCATGTGGTGTCTCCGATAGCAGTTTCAAAGCCTTTGCTCTGCCATTTGGGAGTATTCTCCAAGTGCATTGCTTGGGGTGGGCCCAGAGCTTCTCGCAGTTCACGCATAAAATTGGGACATTGCCTTCTTCCCCTCCCTCCCAGATGGGAGTTCCTTACTCTCACTGGGTTCCAGCATCACTTTCTTTGATCTTCTGTCCAGAAATCTAAGGCTTTTCTAAGAGTTTAGTTTCCTGTACTGATGCACGTTTCCTCATGGCTGGAGAAAACAGCATGAGAAAAAGAAAAAAGAATGGGGACACCTCATGCCAGAGAAACTCATTTTTTTCAGTTCCTTTACACTGTCAATGGGTTTTCTCTCTGGGTTTCTGGCTGGCCCAGCTGCCCCAGGCTCCCTGGCAGCAGCTGCGTGGCCGGCGGGCCTTGGATTCAGCTCAGGAGCCAAAACAGAGGAATAGTCACAGAGATGTCTTCTACAGCTGCTGGCTGGCAGGGACCTCTTCCCAGGTCTCTGATCAGCGAGACACTCTCTCAGAGTCTTTGTTTGTTGTCCATGACTTAATTTGTCTTGGTCTCGAGTCCATGATGGGAGATAAAGGAAGCAAGAAAAAGAAAAGAAAAAAATAAATGAAAACTGAAAACTCCTGGTGGCGATATTAGTCGTTACTCAATGTTGACTTCTTTCCTCAGAGTTCTTGCTGTTATTTACCGTCCAATGCTCTCAGATAGTTGCCTTTTGAATTTTATTAAGAGTATTGAGGTATGATCGGTGGGAAAGATGGCTGCAGTGATTTTATTCCATCTTGACTCTAACTGGAAGCAATAGATACTTTTAATAGAAAAAAATGTAAGAAACAAAGCAATTACACAATATTTGTAGAGTGTTAGAAGAAAATAACTATCTGAATCTGCTGTGCTTTGGAAATATTATTTTTTAAAAGTCCTGATAAATTTATTTTCAGTAAAATAGAAAACTCAAGAAAAATCAACAAAACAAAGATTTACTAAAGGAAATACTCAAGAGTACTTTTAAGTTTTTTGAATTTTTATTTATTCAACAAATATTTATTGAATACTTGTCT